TGATATGGCCTGTAATCCAGCTTCTAGGACGGGGGGAAAGCAATCTGTTGGGAACCGAATGGGTGAGGTGGTGTTTTGCCTCCACTGACGTGTCTGGCACAACAATGAGGCCCGTCTGTTTCAGCAACGGCTCCAGTCACCTGCTCACATGGCTGCTGCGGGCTGTGATAGATCGGCAACGAAACAAGAAAGAAGAGGAAGTGTAATCGAAAACATGCCAGAAATGGAGACAAGTGTCATACGTGGCTCACTGGCCCAAATCAAAGCTCCCTTCACAACGCTGTCACTAATGTGTTGCTTTGCAGGAGGCAGAATTCAATGGTAAACACTCGCTGATCCATATTCTAACTCTCCATCTCTTGCTCTCCCCATTTCTTTCACTCCTCTCCATTTGGCAGAGTCTTTACGGGTACGGTTTCAACGGCTCGATGCATGAGTGATGCCCGGCCAGATTGCCAGTGTTATAGCAGAGTGGAGTCAGGGGTTGGGAAACCAAAGGTGATGGAAAGAAAATAAGATATACCTTTGAATAAGCATCAAAGTGTGCAGGAAATAGAGGTGCTGGGGCATTGACGGTGAGCGTGGGCTGGGTTTTGGCGTGACCACTACAAGCAGACTCATTTTGTTTTCTGAGAGCATTGTCATGGCCTCTGACTATGCAGTAGGTTGGAAAAGAGAAGCAGTTATGAGATACGGTTGGGTACCTGGTACGTGGTGGGGTCAGATTGTGAATAGGTGGTGGTTGGTAGCTAGTGATGTGTTTACGAAGGGTGGAGATGACAATGAAGCAGGAAAAAGACTCTTGCTGAAAAAAATACCATCATAAGGTGCACTTAGGAATCGGCTATTGGGGTTCCTACAACGCTAGTAACTACTTGTTTGGTCAACCAGCAACACTAGAAAGTGAACTTCAACCAACAGGCAAACACCAAAAAAGCATATGGATCAATTATGGATAATAAAAACATAACAGTCAATAGTAACTAAAAGTTATTAAAGTCCTTTCACTGTTTGTATTCATGGTTTCATTTTGTTGAAAAACATTTCTATCACAGAAGTATGTGTACAGTAAATTGCAATTTGCATGTAGCTTAATATATCCAGAGGAAACAAGCATAGATGCTGATCAAAGCTCAAAAGTGTTTCTTACTCAACATGTCAAAGTGAATTACACCACAGAAACGCTGACAGCTTGACGTTTGTAAGTAACAGAACATCTGTACAGAGTCTCGTCTGTCATTCAGGTTACAGGAGTGTGTTTGCAGATGTGTCTTAGGTCACAGCCCAGCATGGTGGAATAGCCAGCAAAGCTAATCGTCCGTTTAAATAACATCTGCTTCAATGTTGTGCACAGTTACATGTGCAATAGTTCAAACACAATGGTACATAAACCAGCTATTTAATCAATTTTGTCTCTAATATTTGATTTAGTAAGAATCCTCTTTTAGCAAACACAGACTGGGTTTATGGGATTTGGAAAGCTCTGAATGTTTGCCAGCAACTGTTGGTCCAAAATAGTTGCAAAAAGTTGCCTTGGTTTTCACTTTATTGTTGTTCATTTATTTCTTATATTATTTGACTTGCAATTCAGGTCAAAATTTCCAACTCAAAGTTTATAAGAATTGTGTGGCTCTAAGGGGTGAACAATAGTACATCTAGGTTTGGCATGTTTGTTTACATTTGATTCATATTAAGTCAATTAAAAGCATCTTATCTTGTGAAAAAAGAGATTAAATGAAGTTCGGTGGTGTTCGGGGCATTGCACTTTTGTGGAAATGAAATCTGGATTCGAATTGATGACCTTTGTTTATCTTCATAAGACTATAAGCATGTTTTGAAAACATCTTGCATCTTGCAATTAAAAGTTAATAATCTCCATGCCTTGAAGCTGTTTATCAAATGATAGGCTAAGACTTTGAGACTTACAAATGCGAAGTAATACACATTCCAAGTGTCTTCACCTATTTATTTTTCCCGCAAGGACACTTGATCTTCCATTAGTTATGAAATCATAATTATTATTTTTTTGCGAAAGGGAAGGATAAATAATTGGGGTAGATTTAGCCCTTGCATCTTCCAAGGATTTAATCCCTTGAAAAGCAAATATTTTCTAATGGGCAATTTCAGCACTTGTAAGATAACAGAATATGAGATCATCTGACTGCTTATGCTATCACTTTGCATACTTACTTTTTATTGTAGAGAAGAGCAATGAGAACCATTAGAAAGAGCAAAATTGAGATTCAAAATCTTCAAGAGTACGATGGCGGTGAGTAACCTTTTGATAGTTGCATAAGGCCAGAGACGATCTCTGTCCCTCCATTACTCTGCTGTCCATTTTCACATGGCCTGAGATTAATGTTGAGTGGACACGTAAAAAGACAAGGATGGCGATCTTTTAGAGAGTATATAATTAGCCCACTGGGCAAGGTAGAAACTACGGTAGAAAGTGACCTCTTGAGGTTAACCCACTAAATCCCAGAGTTCTGCAAAGGTAGATTTCAAAATTCAGGAGTCTGGCTATAGTGAGCAGATTTTACCATCTCGTGTCATGGCGGACATGATGATACAGGTTTTTCTTTGATGAAGGAAAGGTTTTGTGTTTTTTCCCCTTAAGCTTTTCCCAAGTTTTTCAAGCAAGCAACCATAAGTGGTCAGAAATTTTGTATTCAGGATAATTCACAGTTGGGATTCAGTTTTCTCCACTTTCAAACGCTTGATCAGATATCAAAGCCTCTAGCGGGATTGGCTGATCCAGGCTATGTGGAAGTCTGTCGAGAGTACACCTGCCCTAACCTCAGCCTTCAGTCGGTATGTGAGGGAAGGCTGAGTCATGAAGCGAGGGGTTGAGGGACCGCTTCAGCTGTCAGGTAAGAAATACTGGGAAGAGTGGGAGTCACACTCCCATTCCTGTCATCACTACTGCTCAGACCAGGCCTTTTGACATTGTAAAAGACAGCGAAGAGATCACTCTGCTACAGAGCTTGCATATATAACAAGCACAGGTTAGAAGATCTGGTCACTTATTTTTTCCCCCAAAACATTGAGGCTTAAGTGCAGAGCTACTGTTTATTTAGTCAAGTTTTTTTCATTTTCTTATTATTTTCAGCCACTCATTATTAACGGATATGCAGAGTCGCAGGTGCTACAGACCCAGGAACAGCATATGTTTTGAAAGACATATTTTCATTTATTTATTAGTTTCTTTGCCTCTGTGACTAAGCCACATTATAGGCATTACGGATGTCTACATATTGTTGTTCAAATATATTCTTTTGACTGAAAGTCTTGGAAGTTAAGAACGAGTTCTTCCAGCTTAGTTTGTTAGTCCTTTTTATTGGGGAGGATATTTTGAGTTCCAAAGGTTACTGTATGTTTTCATACTACAATGGGTAGCACTTTAATTTATAGTCCTGTTTCGTATGAACATACTATGTACTTATTGTAGTAATGACACAAATTAGGTACTAATGGATAGCCCACCCCTAAACCTTAACTTAACCCATGTTACACTTCTCAGTACTTTTGTGGGTAGGTACACTGTAAGTACAATGAAAGTGCATGTACTGTACAAATAAAGTGCAACCATGCAATGATTCAATGCTTTTCTAGGACCATGAAATTAACCATTGAATAGACACAATTATCACAAAGCCACTAGCTCCCTGGTGTCCAACTTGACAGGAAATTAAACTAGACTGGGATGAACTTGAGGTTCTTGGTTTTGAGTTTGTGGGGGATAATTAGCCTTATCAGTGCCCGTTGAGGCAGTTCTAAAGCAGTACTAATTAAGTCCCAATTAATAATGACCACAGCAGGAGAGAATCATGATAAAAAAAACAGCCTGTGCATCATCACTTTCAAATCATTTCCTCCAGTCAATTCACCAATCAAACATATTTGCAAGTTGACAGTGGTGAATGATGTTCCGGTCATAAGGTGGTTGTGATACTTGTAGTAGTGGGATTTAGATGACTTTTTTGTCTATGCTAAGTGCAAATAAGTCATTTGTAGAGGGGAGCAGCAGAGAGAAACCGCAGACCACGTAATTTGTCTTCTTTCTTCCTCTAATTTCCCTCACTACATCCTCCCATGCAGGTCATTATTTTAACTTTTCATTAGTGGAGATCAATAAAGCAAATCGCATTCCGGCTTGCGAGCACATGTGCTCCATGGCTTACCCCACCACTTATATAACACCTCACCAATCTTGACCAACCTCAGTGCTTTCTCAGTAACCCACAGTTTTGCCCACTGGTGTGGGGAAGAGCTATAACTTGGTGGGTGTGGGTGGCCTTTTTTTTTAGAGCAGATAAACCTACCAGGTGGTTGATTACAACCTCAGCACAGATAGCACTGTTGCTGCCCAATATCACAGAAACAGCAACGCTGAATAATAACCCAATAAAACTTAATTAAGATTCAATGACCTCTCTGGTTTAATAATGAAGACAGTGGGATTTACAGCAGGAAATTAAAAGTGAGAACTTATGGTACTGCAGGGGAGTTTGGTCAGTGAAAAATCTATTTTTAATACAGTACATTATTTTTCGCTGATCTCATACTAGTTTGAGATCACTGTAATCAGTCTATGTGCATATTTTGATTTAATCTGAGGATACTATTTGGAAGATAATTAGAAATAAAATAAATTAGAAAATGTAATTGAATGTTAAGAAAGGGACATTTGAGATTGCAAATAAGCTTTTGATAAAAGTGCACTCTCAGAAAAAAGGTACGAAAGCTGTCACTGGGGCTGTACCTTTTCAAAAGGTACACTTTTGTCAATTTTAGGTACTAATATGTACATTTTAGGTGCTAATATGTACCATTACGGTACCAATATGCACCCTTTAGGTACAAAAGCGTACCTTTTGAAAAGGTACAGCCCCAGTGACAGCTTTCGTACCTTTTTTTCTTTTTTTCTGAGAGTGTATGCAAATAAGCTATCGGCAGGACTTCTTCGTCAGTCTTCAGTTTTACCCGCAGTTGTGACTAACCTAGGACAGTAAGTCGAGCAGGACGGGACCTCATGGCGGCCTGGATGGCCTGGCACTCAAACACTGCATCATCCATCAGCTCCACCCTCTGGATTCTCAGGTGGTGCTCGCCAGTTCCATGATCCCCAACCACAGCATAGCGAGGATAACCTGGAAAACAGGGAAGTTGACTGGTTAATACCCCAAGTCCAGCAGTGACTGCTTTAAAAATAAATTTTGCGTGTTTTTAAACGTTTCTAGGTAGATACAATCCAGGGAAATTGTAGCTTGTCAGTTTCAGAGTCGCACTAACCGAGCGCCTAAATTGAAGAGTTTTTCATGACAGTGTAAGGTAATCCTCGAATGCCACAGGGAGTAAGTGTTAGAGGCTGATGCAACACTGGCTGTTTGTTAGCAACCACTGCGATATCAAAGGACATCAGTTGAATTTATTGTATATTATTTACAGATACAGGAGATTTCGTCTGCTTTCATGGATGTGTGGAAAACAATGAAAATAGTCATATCTTGTAGCTTATTTCTTACGTTCAAGTCCAACCCAAGGGCCCCTTCTTCTGCAAAGTGAAAATATTGATGACTTGTTTCCCTCAGGACAATAAAAACACCCAATGTGAGACAAGAATCGGCACATCTGTGACCTTTCTAAAATAAACTAAAGGTGAGCAGATGTGTGAGTCTTTCTAATGGTTGGGGTGAGACTTTCTGCCGGTTAGGGTGAGACTTTCTGCCACTTAGGGTGAGACTTTCTGAAGGTTGGGGTGTGATTTTGTGCTGGTTGGAGTGAGACTTTGTGCTGGTTGAAGTGAGCCGCACTGATGATTGAGGTGAGATGATGGTTGATTGAGGTGAGGCAATCTGCTGGTTTTGCTATAATATGTTCAGCTGCTGCTGTAGGTGTAGTACTTAGTAAGCAGCACACAGAGCCAAGAAGATTGAGATGTGTTCTACTGATGCAGAGGAACGGTGATTTGCGGTTTAATAATACATTCAGCAGGATGTATTTCAAGGAAAACTGACTGTTTTACAACAGCAAGCAGATCCGAGGGCCTTTAAAACCCATCAGCAGACTATTTCCTGGGAATTTGCATGAGGAGCGAATGCAGAAGCTTGGTTTGTCACTATAGGAAATGTAAATTGGGGTGGAGACGTTTGATTGTGTCATACTTTACGGTACATTTCACAAGCTCTCCGTGTGAATGTCTTTAATGTCTCTCAGGAGCCAAATACTTCTAATTATGAGAGATCTGCAATTTCCAATGAGACCCCTAAAAAGTGCTGTCATTGCTGTTAGTGCAGCCTCTCTTTCCAAGTCAAGACAGTAATTGATGGCTGATGGGTGATACGGATTTAATAGCATCAGAAGCTGATCTCAGCGTATTTCTCTACAGAACGGAGCGCTGTGCATTTTCCCTTCAATTTAATTCAATATTGCTTTTTATGTGGCTAAATTTACACCTTCAGAAGTGATCTCGCTCTAAGTTCCTGCTTCCAGTCTCCACAGAGCAGCCATTTGAATCTTTGCCAGTGAATGACCTGTGGCAGAATATTGATTTTTACAGCATCCATCGATATGATTCATGTTCGCTCCAGAGAATTCTCTGTGACATAATCGTCATGCACCCTCATGCTCTCGGGGCACTCAACGCCAGCAAGTCCGTTGCAGCTCCGAAAAGCATATGTGTTTCAAACTGAAAGGATTAAAAACAGCCTGTGTTTTTGTGGTTGATTGCGTTTATATAACTGACTCCACTTGTTTAGAGATGTATCACCCATTGTCAATTTGAAAGGGCATCCCGATATCACCTATATCTTTTCGAGTGCTGTGTGGTACGAAGTCCAACCTATTCCTAAACCCTACCACGGGGCTATTACTGCAGAAACCACTGTAATCTACAGCAATGAGGCTTGAAAGAGGGATGTGCTTTAACATATTGCTGTAGAAAGGAGTGAAAAATAGACTGGACTGGACTAATGGCTTTTAAGTCCTTGAGCCTGCCTGTTGAAATCACTGTGCCAGAAAATGCCAATTATTGCCTGTTGCCTCATTGGATCCCATTCACTTTTAATAGACCATGAAGTGTCTCTCATTTCCCCTATTGAGGAGAGAGCAGCAGACGATTATGGTGCAATGTGTTTTATCTGCCCACATACAGCTTTTAATTTCTCTAGGAGAGTGGGAGACAGAAAATGGGCAGGATGACCCAAAAAACAAACATTTAATAAGCCATCAAAAACAGACTGTGCCCACATTAGATGGTGGACTACATTGGAAAGTTGTTTTGAAGGTCTTACCAAAAAGATGGTGAAATATGTTATGTACAAGGAACAGCCTATGTTGACACTACATGATATAAGTGGCCAGTTATTTAACTATTTTTGACCTAATTTGTTTTCTGTTTGAGATTGCAGAATTTGTGTTCGCGTATCCGTTCTGCACAGCTTGAGAGTAAATAACTTGGAAATAAAAATACCGAATTATATGTTTAATATCTCTGTTGTTTATTTAAGATGCCACAGAGATTAAACGAAGAGCAAACAGAGACTTTGGTTTAAATCTCCTGCTCTCAAAATAATCTCATGCTGTGTCTACTTGAGAGATTCAGAAGATCCTACCGTGATCCCAAAAGTCTGCAATCAGAAATCTCTCATCAAATTCATTCGAAACACAAACTAATAGTTATCCTATCCACGTTAATTGTACTCTTACTGTATGTTACAATTGTCAGTGGCAGTCTGAGAAATCTTTCAGATTCGTACTGGAAACTCCATTAAGTCAACCTCTGGGCAATACAATTAACCTTGGCAACTGTCAGGTTACAATTTAAGGCCTGTAATGTGAACATAGCCAAATCAAGTACTGTTTATGGTGGCCGCCAGTCAAAGCAAATGAAGCTTACGGAGTCATTTTAATGGCCATTGACTTGGTTCGATACTGTGTTTATTCCTGATGAGAGATTGATGGGTTTGTTGCAGGCAACATCTATTGCCACTTAATGCCTAGCTGCAAATCTTGAGGTCTTATTTCTCAGATGGATGCCGAATATATGCACTGGCTTCTGAAGACATTACTGCTTTATCAAGCTCTATGAAGTAGTGGCAGGCTCATGACATGTCTGTGTGTCTTATTTTACATAAGTCATATCATAATACAATACAATGTGCTATTTATTTGTTTGTTTGTGTGCGGAGTGGGGCACACTTAAAAGACACACACACAAACCCTCAATAAAGCAAGTAGGCTTTGAATGTGTGAGTTTGAAATCAGCAGGGATTTACTTCCTACAGTGATCCTGTAATAAAGTGAAGGAGCAATCCTAGCTAGTCTTTATGCAAGCTGACGCCAGTCAAATAACAAACAATGATTAACTGTGATCTAGAGATTAAATCCACCCACCTGTATCATTATCTGAGCTTGGCCCATACAAATGCAGTTCTTTATGAACCCAAATTTGTGCATTCTATCAGTATGTTCGGTATGATACACATTTCATCTCTCATCTGGACACCTCTTAGATTAATATATCATTATATAAATCACCCAAGAAATGCACAACAGAGCATGAGAGAAGAATGAAATAATTCTGTCATTGATCACAATGAATCCCTAAGACAACCCACGTCAACCAAAGCAAACAATATAAAATAGCCCCATTAGAGTTAATGAATCCATCAGGACAGGAAAGGATTAGTCTTTATGTCGGATCGATGGAAGGGGGAAAGGGCGGTGAATGGAGACGTGACGCAGTGATTAATGGTTCGAGGGAACAAGTGAGTGTATCTGCCTGTCGGCTCAAACAGAGCACATGATTGAGAGAGAATGTGATAATTACATACATGACTGTTATTTTCTTCCATTAGGTTTGATTCTGGGAACCAAAATAGATTCAAGGAAGCAAAATATGGATATATTTTGTAGAAATTAGGATGAGTTTTTAGATTCTAGATTTGAAAAAGGTAACATTTTATTTTGATAGTCTGCACATCAACTAGCATATTCATTAGAGTATTAGTAGACTGTCTGCTTAATATTTGGATGCTCCCCAACTGACTAACTAACTTTGTAAGTACATGTCAACTTATTCTGCTAACCCGAACTCTAACCTAACAATCTACTAATACTGTTTACATGTACTTGCAAATGAATGAGAGTTTGTTGACATGTAGTTGTGGACTATTGAAATTAACCAATAACTAAATTTAATGAGACCACCCCTTTTAAGTTTCAATAGTACTGACTTGGTACCCGCATGATCTCTGACAGTCATGACGCTGCTTTCAAACCTTCACATGTGTATTTATATATGTATGGTTTGATTACTACATGATGACCATTTTATTTGATTTCAGCACTTGAATTTTAATTATGTGTTTATTTATTTTGTTTAACCTCTTAACCGTTGCCAGAGCGCCGGCGCACTGAAGCGTTTTTTTTTTTAATAGTTCAAAGTTTTTTTTATTTATTACATATTTAAAAAAAAAAAAACTTTTAAATTAAAGAGATTTCTTTACGAATAGTCTAATGTATAACATGGCATCAAAACTGGATTAGTATCAGCTACTGAAATTTTTATGTTGTAAAAATCTTAGTAGAAAAGGACATTTGACATTGCTCTATGAGTGTTGCCTTCAATGGATTTTTCTTTTTTGCTCTCCTATAAAACATTGGCTTTGAAGTGAGCAGCACAAATCCGGAAGCTACTGTTTGGATTACTGATGTGCCAAGAGTGTAAAAAAACAATGCCTCAAAATCGGAATCAGAATTCTGCTGTGCTCTTTATGTCCAAGCATGCTTGTGCAATCTCCCTGACTGGTTATGTGGATATTCACGTTTACACCAGCAATCCGCACAATGCATATTCATGACTTTTATTTGTTTGTTTGTGGCAGTATTGAACTGATGTCTTTAATTAGAAGCAGGAGCAAAAGGACCTCCACGAAGAATGTGGGGACCGATACGAATCAGCCTCTTTTGTCTGCTGATTTATTAAACATATTGTTTGCGATTTCTCATTTTAATCAATGTTCTCCCAAACTGAAACAGCACTGAATGAGAGAAGCCTCTTCCATGAATAGCTGAGTAGGCTGATATTGAAATGTGGAGCTTTGAGCTGTTGTAGTCGCCTCTTTTTTTTTTTATGTGTGCAGCTGCTAGCTTGGAGTACGTAGTCGTAGATGTGTCAATTTCTTTATTGGACGCAGTGTTACTTGTTGACGCAGGCAAGACTGATAAAAGGAGCAGCTGTGCAGTTTTATTCTGTAAAGTGTCATTCATGTCAAAGCAATGCACCTCCGCCCTTGTACCCGAAGCTTGCTTTTAAAGTGCTCTTTTGTCTAAAGCACGGGCTCTCGGCAACTCGAAAAAAATTACATGCCATAAAAAAAGAGAGACGGAGCAGGACTTCATTGAAATTCTTCATGGCCCTCTGAGCGCTGGCCCGCCATTGATCCGCATAAAGAGCTAGATGGGGCTGGCTCGCCTCGGATTGGGTCGGCCCTCGGCTCCCGGCCGTGACTGTTAAACTGCAGCTGATGTGCCGTTAAGTGCCACTCTCTGTCTCTCTTCTCATAATCGTGAGTCCCGCAAGCGCAGAACCTCTTCTCACCTCCCAACCCCCACCCCGGCTTCAATTCACCCTCTCTTCCTCTTTGACCACTTGTAAAGCTCTTCTCCCAGTGTTTACACTGCCAGGGCCCAGCTCCCAGGAGCCTGATAATGACAAACTTGGTAGCGGAATGAATTTATCAGGGCTCAGTTGCCTATTGGGGTCTAATTAAAGGCCACTATCAGTGCCAAAAAGGCACAGAGCAGCAGCCACCAAAGGTCAGAGGCAAAAAGACCTGCGATCTCCAGCGGAATACATATTTAATTGTAAGGATCAGCCCAGCAACTGTTTTTAAAGAGGCCGACTGGGCTTTACGTCATGCTTTGCACTGGAAATATCCCAGGACGCTTGGCAGAGCTGTGATAGAAAAATTGAGTAAAACGTTGAATTCCTAGGGAATCATGCTAGAGTCTCTAAGCCTTTGTTAATCTACACTTTTCAAAGTGATGCTTACACCTGCTCTTTCCACACAAGGATTCCATGGGTTGTAATCCAATGTAAATGTCATAAAGAGGGACCAACTGTTTCTGATCAACCTGACTATGAATAAGTTCATGATGTTCAAAGTCTGTAGGTGGAAGGAATGAGAATCCAATGGTTGTTAGCTTAAGCAATTAACCAAAAAAGCAGCACTTTGCTAGTCGAGAAGAGCCTCACACTTCACAAGCTATTAACAGTTAAAAGTACTTAAGAGGTTATATTTTAGTTGCTCTTGTCCTTCTGTGCCTGACACCAATTGGACAGTTTTTAAAAAGCAATCACACCCTCTAGCTTAAACTTGTGTACCAAAGTCAACTTTAATTACAAAAGGCTTGTTTAAAACCAATTTGGTTATTTGAGAGGCAGATGAAGACCGGCTGCTAGTTGAAGTGTAAAATTCAATAAAATTAGCTGGAGCTGTGGACACGTTTGCCTCTCGCTCAGTCACTAGGGTAAATTGTTTGCATTTTAAAACAAGCTTATTTGACCATAAAAAGACTGTTATGAATGTCCATGCTGACATTGGCTGGCTTATGCAGGTTAGTGCTAGTAGCAGATGACGTTTGGATGGTCGACTGGCATGATCTTTCCTGTAATGATGGTTAAGCAAGCAGAACCTGATTTCACCAAGTGCAATATGTTCCTAGATCAACATTCCAATCAACCAATCATATTTGAAGGATAAATGTACAGTTTGTGTCAAGTTTATGCTTACAACCATGGTTAGGTGCTTCTACATCAGTGTAATTCACCTATAATTTCCGTCAGATTTTAGGGATAATTTATGGGTATGGTTAGGTTTAGGGGTAGGGATATGGTTATGGTTACATTTTCGGACATAGTTTGTTGTTTCAGGATCAACAAAAATCAGAACATGCATCTTTTGGGGACGGTGAAGCATCTTGTCAACTGGCATTGTTTCATGTAAACCTGGTAAGTTAGTAAAGTTGCTTGATTAGCGCAGGCTTTCCTGTAAAGTGGTTAGCAAAGTGGTGTTCAGGTAGTCTGGTTAAAACCAAACCATTCTCAGTTGTAACTGAGTTATGGTCTGGCAAAGCGTCATAGACAAATCATTTCCAGAGGGGCGTCACCAACGGACGTCGCGGATAGACCTAAACCCAATCAGAGCGATGAAGGAGATGACGTATGCAGAGCGGCGGAGAAACATCTCCGAGTGTTGTTCTTTGCTCGGTTTTTAACTAAAAGGAAACGTTCAAATCGCTTAAAACAGACGCGATAGCTGATTCGAACGAGTGATGTTCGAGGGCGGCATCCATCTTTGTAATGTAGGCTACAAAATCTGCTTCAAAATCCCAGCGCTGTCGTCATCGTGTAAAGCCCGCCCCAACGTTTCTGATTGGTGCCTCGATTTCGACGGATTGGAAATGGGCTTGAATGAGCTCTTTGCCAGACTAACTTTCAGAGCAAATCTAAATTTGCCGGAAGTTGTCTGGGTTTTCCCAGGCTAGTGTTCAGGCCCATTCTCAGGTTATGTGTTTCCTTTAGGTCTTTCCTGTGAAGCTACCAGTGTGGTCTTTCTGGTGAGGCTAGTTAAGTTGCTCTTTCTTGAGGAGACGGTGAAGCTTGTCACCTGTTGTTTGTATGTACTTGGTTAAGCTTTTTTTTTGTTAAGCTCGACTAGGCCAGGGCAGTCTTTCTTGTAAAGTTGTAAAGCTAGATGACTAGCATGGTCTTTTTGGTGAAGATGTTTAAGTTAATCAACCAGGTCTTACAAGTGAAGATGAATGGTTAAGAAAATCTACCATGATGCTCTTTATTTTATATTGTATATTGTTAAAAGAAGCTTGATGGGTAGAATAGCATCAAAATCATAAAATAAACTGGTAACATTTGCAGTAGAGTTTGTTAAATAATACTAAACTGTTTGTGACTTTATTACCTGCAAGATCTCTTCCGATGCCCAAAGCGAGGCCATCTTTGATCCACAGCACGACACCATGGTATCCAGGGATGGAGCAGGGTAGCGTCACAGGCTGACCAGCCACAACAACCAAGTCCTGAGGCTGCTGTGAGAACACGGCATTCACTCCTGAAACAAACGAGACAGAAAGAGAGAGTTTAACATTAATGTTTTAACTGTAGCCTTCTATTTGTGCAGCTCTTTTCTCATACTGAGGTCTCTTAAACACATCAGATCCATTATGAAATGGTTAATGTTACATGACCTCATTTGAAAATGTATGCAATGAATAACTCTCAAGTACTCAAGTGTGATTAACACGCAATGTTGAAGTGCTCTAAAGGCCTCTCTTCAGCCTGTCAACATTGGATCTTTCACAGAAAAGTACATGAAGCAAATGAAGTTAAACTCCATTAGAGATGAGTGGCCTGAGAAGGCTGTCAGCAATAACCCAGCGAGACGCAAGACGCCTCTTAAAGAAAAGAGTCACGGATACGAGAACAAGCATCATGGAAGGAGTAAGAGAAGGAAAATAGCTGCTGTATTCCTGTATCTTCCCACCGGTGGGCACAAAGATACCAGCACCTGTCACTCGGGCGGTTCAGGTTTGACTGGTTAGCATTGGCAGTTGGCCTCAAAGATTTCTGTCTCCAAAGGGAATCTAGTTACAGTACAAATGTCTTGTATTTCAATCTCCAGTGGTACATATTGCATGTGCAGTCACAAACTTACGCACTTTCAAAAATACAATGGCTGACATCAGCTATCAATATTGCAATGAGTTGTCTCAGTGGAGAGATGACGAGTTTCTTGCTGGCAGTACTGATAATAATGGGAGTCACACTGGCAGTCATGCTGAACTCTGCAGCTCTCCCTGATGTGTGCCTATCTACAATTCAAGAAGATGGCTCATATTTCTCATTCCACTTTACATCTCAGTGTACTTCTTAATCAATACTCATTTCTGTGGAACACATACCACCCTCTGTTTCTTGATGTACTGTATGTGTGTGTGTTTGTAACTTAGTTATACTTTACTAAAACGAAATGTCCCCAGAAATAAGCAAAATATATGACAAAACAACCTTTGGAGGATTGTTGATCCCTTACAAAAAAAAGTACTGTGGCTGGTACCACTGTACAGAGATGGTATCTGATGGTAATTATGTTGCTTCATAATTACCATATTCAGAAAATATTATTAAATTGCCAAAATACAGGGCCAAAAACAGTATACAAATAGTAAAGTGGTTCATAAAAAAATCCAATAAATTAAAAAAATATGCTTTGCTTCCCATACCCCCCCCCCCCCCCATACCCCCCCCCCCCCATCCCCCCCCCCCCACCACACCCCACCACACCAAATTGTAATATTCAATTCACATTTATTTGTATACACATCGTTTCAAAGCAGCTTTACAGAAAATGCATGAGTCCACATCACAATCTAGAGTGATATGTTATCTGTTATAATAAGAGGTAATGTTAGAGTTTTGTAATGGATATTTTTATTTTCTTCTCTATTTTTTGTTGCTTTACCTTTGCATGTCAAATAAAAAAGTTAATCTTTTAAAATAATTGAGAACGCTTTCCTTTCCGCTCTGTCGAGCAGTTAATGAACACAAGAACCTGCCGTATGTGAACGCACACTTCTGATCGGTGTGTAGTGGACATTAAGCTAATTATACAAGGTTGAGACTGACTGATTCAGACGAATATGAAAACATGTCATTTTTGCACATCGCTATTGGAGTTAGGGTCAGTCAGTACTCTGTAGTAACAAATTACCTTTATTTGAAAACAGTTGGAGTCTATATGCTAATTCTCTGCTAGGGACACATCTGTGTGCGAGTATGTAAGAAATGTGCTAATACCAATAAAACATGACATTCTCTAGATTAATGTTAAATTAAACACACAGGGAGGAAATAATTAATTGCCAGAATCCAGCAGGATGTCTTTAACGCTATGAATTCCATGGATTAGTAAACAAATCAGTCATACCTCTGTCCTGCCTCCAGTAAAATGTGATGAATGGCTTGTTAAAAGCTAAACATGAGTCCACAGATTGATTTATACAAATTCTCCCTGGCGAAACCCAACGTCTGCTGCTCCAACAAGCCGTTATTAAATCAACAACTGCAAAGATGCACAATGAATTCTTGTAAATATATTGGGCTGTTCATCTTTGAAGGCCAGCAGGCTTGCCTGGACACTTCAGTGTTTCTCATTCTGTGCTGTAAGCTGCTTTATTTGAATGAGCGTGTTTGTGTGTGTTTGCTGTGAAGGTCCTCTGTACACTTGCAGAGACTGTAGATGTAGGAACTGTGAATCGCAGCAGACCCGCTTCCAGGCTGCTGAGAGACATCAGGTTTGGCACATTATAGGAATACTGAGTGTAGATGAATGCTTCATTGTTCTTCTTTCTTTTTTGCTGTCTCTTCCACTGCGAGATGTGTATTATCGTATCGTCCATTCTGTGCAGTAGCCGATTGACCCCTCTGCTGTTATTGCGCTCAGTGCATTTGTTAACTTCCCTCAAATACCCACCGCACAAATTAGTTTGATTAGGAGAAGATTGACCCTCTCTGGACTTAGATTCCAACACATTGCAAATTATTATGATGAACGCTAATTATTTTTAATAATATGGCTAATAAGAATAACAAAGTAAAAATGTAGAGATTGCTTTTTTTATGAATCCCATGACCTCTATCTTTAATCCACAAGCGAGTATCCATTTTAGAAAGAGAGGTTGCCAGAGAGGTGGAAAATAATGATTTGCTACGGGATGAAACAGAGACAAGGGGCTTCCTCACCCAAAGTATTTATAGCGGAGAGTTCATTATGGGGTTAGATGGATAAAAATAGGAAAATGCACAGTTCTCGCATAGTTTCTACCCTTTAATTGTTAGCCAACAATGCTTATGATTATTGCAATGAATCCTTTAGTCCTAACAGTAGTGGCATGGCCTGCTCTTTGGTTAAGAAATGCCTGTTTTAATAAAGTTAGAACATGATTGTTCGGAAATATTCAAAAACAGGCAATCTTAAAGTACGTGATTCTCCGTGAACTGATCAATTCATGAACACAAGTAATACTATGTTGACAGATGGATGAGCAAAAGAAAGATCTAGATTTGGTTTTTAAATGTGTCTTAAACTGCATTAATGTTCATATTTAGTGGTATCGTGAGCATGTTGTTACTGTATGTGGCGATATTCAAAGTGGATGGCAATATGGTAGTGCCGGTAGTGTCAATTATTGCCTTTGATACTGTGATCACAATTATTAACGTTGATTAATAGCATTTAATCTTTTGCAAAACCTCCAAAAGAATATCCATTTTTCATTCTGTACATTATAATGTCACAATAGCTAAATTGACTTGCAGAAACTTGCATTGTATCCAATAACATGAAAATAACTTATCGGTCAACATTTTTTATAATGGTGCATCCCTAATCATAATGTATTTTTTTCCCCCTGTTGAACAGTCCTACTATACTGTACTATATCAACTCATCCCCTCAGTTTATAAACCTTACTCACAGATTCTTAAATTTTTCCCTCAGTTTAACAAAACACGCACAGATTAATTAACCATACCCCAAATTTCCAATCTGTGCCCTCAGATTTGAAAACCGTAATAATTATGTACTAATAATAACGGACAGTTGTATTTTTATTCAGCAAATGCTAACAAATATCAATACATTGTAACAAATGTAATAACTAAAATTTACTAATGGACCTTATTTTGTAAAGTGTTTAATTTCAGAAACAATGCACTGCATGGTCTTCCATCTTTTTCTATCTCAAGGAATAATAAAAAAAAGGTGTCTGCTACCATAACTATCAGTGTGGTAACTAATGGGAGTGAGAAGTCTGGTCAGGGAGGTTAACATATCCTTCCGAGTGATCTATTTACAGCACTGCACCACCTGGTTCATCCACTCGGACAGCAAAACACCGGCCTGTTTGATTTCCTCCAAACCACCTCAAGCGGCAGGAAAACATATGTAGGTCAGTGAAGAGGAGGATGTAGGAAAATGGGTGATGAATAGGGTGGGTTGAACCGGGGGGCTTAAGTTCACCCACTCCGGTGGAGGAATTCACAGGCGTTTGGAGCTCAGCGACGCTTCGGTCGCATCTGGCAGTATTCCGCTTCGGTGCTCATGTCGCCGTCCTCAGAGCGGACCCTTCCTCTTCTCCCTCGTCTTCTCGCCGTTCGAGGCTGCCAGCTGCACAGCCAGCCGTGCGTGTAGGAGAGTGAAGTGAGGGAAACAGATTATACTGCTTTATAGCACCCTATGAGTCCTCTAAAGCAAACCTGGGTAAGAGAGAGACAATCGAACAAAAACTATTCTTGCTGATTATGAATGATTAACGCTAATAATCGAAGTAGCTCGTAAAGCTGTACCGGAGTGGGCGGGAGTGACACTAATCCTCTTTATAAATGCTTTATTTAGAGAATAATCCCGATAAGATGCAGTCTTTTGAGATGAAGTGAGCTGGTCAGGTGTAGATTGTGTGTGTTGATATTCCGGGCATGAATCCTGGCGGATCTGTCAGTGGGGTCTGTTACGACTGCAGGCAGTGCCTTGAGGGGCTCTCCTCCCTCCAGCTGCGTACACACACACACACACTTCAAATTGACCATAGCGTGTTAGACCTAAATGCTCTTAAAAGAGACCTTAAAAATCTCTTTATTTTAAGGTACAACTACCTTTCAGGTTAACAAGTTCTGAGTGGAGTGTGGCCTATTTTTTTTTTTTTTTAACAAATTGCATCTAATTTCATCCTCGCCCTTCCAGGCTGGATCTGAGTTGTACCATGCGTGGTTGGGTTGGGAATGTCTTCAAGTGCTAAATGGAGGTCATGTCGCTTCCAATGGTAGGAGTTTCTCTTCCTGATGCTGCGGACAGTCAGTCAGTCAGTGTAAAGCCTACTATACGGTTCCCCAAACGGGAGTTCGCAAACTCCTGGGGGTTCGTGAGGGAACTGCAGGGGGTTTGTGAGTTCATAAAAAAGCTAATAATTAATTATATCTAATGTAAAATTAAACTGAATGGGGCTGTGATTTAATTAAATAACTGTATAGTGTGATTCTCTGCGTGTTAGAGAG